TTTATACATTAATTATTAAGATTTATTTATAATTTATTAATAATGTCATTATACATATTTCTTTTAAATAATATAAATGACTAAAATTATTCTTATTTAATAATAATTTTTATTTGATTATTAGATTAAAAAGCAAAAATGTGTTAATTTGCATACAATAGTAAAATTTAAGAAACCCAAATTGAATTAATGTGAAGAGAAAACATTTGCAAACAAAATTCGTAACAAAAATGTCCTAATCTTTTTCGAAAATCAACCGGATGCAAAAAAATTCATCGAGTTACAAATTAGGAGGGTTTAATTGAATATTGAATATAACAATGGCGAGATTTCTAAGAACAATACCGATACGGTAAACAACAGAGAACACGTACTCATAGTCCGCTATAAAGGGTTCGGTGTTGATTCTCGGTGCAACTAGCGGCCAAGGATGCGTGTATTTGTGCGCGTTTTCATGCACCAGTGTTTGCGCGTGCGTTCATATATAAATGTACACGCTTGCATATGAAAATGTGCGTGTATATACGTCCATCATGAGTCAGAACCCATGGTCGGTCCGCGTTTCGTAATTAATTTCTACGGTGACGAGAAAAATGCGAGTCTAGACCTGGGACTACGACACCTGCTCACTCCCGGGCCGCTTGTCCTCAGAGGACATGCCCGTTGTGCCCGGTAAATCGCGCACCTTTTATGTTTCTCCTGCTCTGCTCGTATCCATTATATGTGTCTAGTGTTGTGTGTTTTCTTCTCTTGCCTCTCTTGTCGAACTTTCTGTATCCCGGTTTTGTTCTTCCATTGGACTCTCGTTTCTCTCTCTTTCATCTACAGGTACATCTTATTTAAAACAGGTCCTGGCTTCGGTTCTTCGAACTGCCTTCGAACGGTTTCCTTTTCTATCGACCAGAACGTAATTTATTTCCTGTCCTCTTATATGTTATGAATTTTCATGCAGCAGTAGCAGCATAAGAAAGGATTGTGTTCGAGACGGCATTTTAAGCCATCAAAAGTGTGGGCACACAAATGTTTTTCCGATTCGTACATTCGGATGATTTTAAACTGTCAATCTCGTCATCAATCGAACATTCACGAGGAAAAATGGATTGTGAACTTTTCGATAGTTTCGGTTATCGGACTTACCTTTTGCTTTGTTTTTTTTCCTCTGAATAAAAGGGTTGAATCAGGTATACATATACTTTTTATAGTTATTATATTTTCTCTTCCAATCTTATTTAATTCTCTGATTATATTAATATTTTTTCTTCAAAGTTGATCAAGAGTAAATAAAAGATTGATTTAGTACTTACTACTTTACTTTAGTACTTTACTTTTTTTAGATAGTATAAGTAACTACAGACAAAGTTAATAGAGGAAACATGGATCAAAACAGGAATAGACCTAGTAGACCTCGTCTTCGTTCTCATGGCAATTCTGCCAGAGTACTTGTATATGATCAGGCTGAAAGTGAAGAATCTGCTTGTAGTACAGAAACAGAAATGCAAAAACGACCAATCCCACTTAAAGTTGAGAGTAAGGAAGCTCCAGTTCGACCTGGTTTGTCAAATTTTATATTATTTTATTTATCTATCTGCTTATCTTTTCATAGTCTTTAATCATATAATATCTCCAGTTAGTGGAGAATTATCAAATTTGGTTCGTATGAGAAATTCTGCAATTGGGAAGTCTGCACCTTCTTTATCAGTTCATGTGGTTAGTTACATTTTATATTAAATGTAAATATACATAATAATCATAATGTAATTTACATTTATAAACATACATTGTCTTTCTTGTAGCGTGATTTCAACATTCCACGGCGTGCTGCTAAAGCAGCTCATCGTAAATCCTTTATTGCAACAACATCTCCAACTTTACCACGCTGTCATTCACCATTGTCAGGTATGTAAATATGTGTTCCTAGTTTCTTGTTTTTTAAATGATATTCAACAATATCACATGTTATTTATCTACAGAATATTTATGACTCTTATTTATTTATGAAAACATTATATAAGCATTCTGATATACATTTACCCAAGATTTTTAAATATATATATACTTTTACCTAGATATAGTAATATAACTATTGCAATTTGCATTTTAATGTAGTTGGATTTAGAAAGTTTGATTTCTGTTTTTTAAATGGTGTTCTTAAAAACAAATTACTTTTTAATTACTTAGTGATATATATTTTATATTATTTACATGATTTGATAATCATAGAGAACTAATTCTTTTTATTGCTTATTTCTTGATATAGCGTTTGTCCCGATTGTAGGCAGTCCCCTAGAAAGTCCTAGGATGTCATCCAGTCCACATTTTGCTTTTGCACCAATTAAAAGGTATCTGTTTCATACCTACTTTTAGTCTGTTTAAATCTGATCTGTTACCTATGTAAGTAGGTGTCGCCATTGTCAACATTGTATTTTTAATATATTATTAATAGTAAAGAAAATAAATGCTGATGCAGAAACTAGGCTCTGAAATCTTTCATAAAAAACGAAGGACATGGTTGTAAGATATTTTATTTTTTATCAAGTGGTTTCACTTTATGTATATGCTAATACTATCAAATAGTATATGTTATTTACTATAAAGTTAATCTTTCATATTTGAATGTGTTGTAATATTTAAGGATTGGTGGGGGTACCACGGGAACTGGAGATGGCAGAAGATGGTCAGTTGCTAGTTTGCCATCTAGTGGATATGGAACGACACCAGGTTCCAGTAATGTCTCGGTTAGTTATTTTATTACGAAATATATAACTAAAGACACCCCTACTGATTCAATAATTTACTTATATATTTATTCAATTAGTCACAGTACTCAAGTCAAGAACGTTTGCATCAACTTCCAAACGTTCCAACTAAGGATGAATTGCGTATGCTTTCTTGCCATTTTTCTAAACCTGGTACGCCTTGTTCTTCACACCCGGGTTTTCCGGGGTCTAGTATTTCTAGTATTCCAGGGAGCGTATCTTTGAGTCTTGATGAAGAAGGCCGTAGATCACCATTACATAGACCACGTTCACGAAGTTTAAGGTAAGGTATTACTAATATAATTTGTTTTTTAGGATAATTCAAGAAATATTATTTGTAACATTTACTTAATTATATGTATGTATGTATTTAACTTATAGTAGTCCGAGTCGTTCTCCTGTATTAGATAGCGAAATTGTTATGATGAATACACTTTATAAGGAAAGATTTCCAAAGGTATAAATTTTAGCTTTAGTTTATATGTTGTAATGTAATAATTTCATTTTACCTAAGAATTATTTGATTAGGCTACACAGCAGATGGAAGAACGTTTAACTAATTTTATCAATGAAAACAAAGAGCTGGATGAGTATGAAGTAATGGCAAATATGACACAAGATTCTCTACCAATTTTACGATTTGTGCATCATCAAGTAATTGAAATGGCAAGAGACTGTTTGCAAAAATCTCAGGAAAAATTAATTACAACCAGATATTTTTACGAAATGAGTGAAAATCTGGAACATTTGTTGATGGAGGTAATTTTGTAAGAAATGACTTGATAAAATAAACAAATAACGGGTAAACATTTATTTTTAGACAAAAGATAAATCACTTGAAGCAGCAACGAGATTGACAGGACTTATTAAAAAGTTACTTTTGGTAATATCGCGCCCAGCTCGTCTGTTGGAATGTTTAGAATTCGATCCAGAAGAGTTCTATCATTTACTCGAACAAGCTGAAGGTCAAGCAAAAATAAACGCGGGAATAAAAACAGATATACCTCAGTACATTATTACCAAGCTTTCCCTTAACAGAGATCCAATATCAGGTAACGTTTTTTGCCTAATATTTCCGTATGTTTGCATTCAATATATAAGAAAATAATTTTGTATATTTTATATTTTATACTTTAGAACTCCAAGAAGATTTAAATAAGCTAGAAGATTCAGCAAGTTCAAGTGATAGTAATTTACAAATAGCTTCAAGTCCAAATAAGGATGATGAAAAGTCTCAACGCATTCCATGTGAAAGCGATTACGAAGTATCAAAACTCATTAGTAATGGTGCATATGGCGCAGTGTATTTGGTTAAAGAAAAAAATACACGACAAAGATTCGCTATGAAGAAAATAAATAAGAATAATTTGATGTTAAGAAATCAAGTAGAACAAGTCTTTGCTGAAAGAGACATAATGAGCTTTACAGACAATCCATTCGTAGTTTCTATGTATTGCAGTTTTGAGACAAAAGTATGTATATCTTATTTTCAAAGATTTTATAAAATTTAAATAAAATTTATTGACAATCATTTAATTGTAGAAACACTTGTGCTTAGTAATGGAATACGTAGAAGGCGGAGATTGCGCAAATCTTTTAAAAAATATCGGTCCACTGCCACCCGACATGGCAAGATTTTATTTTGCAGAAACTGTTTTAGCTGTTGAATATTTGCATAGTTATGGTATTGTTCATCGAGATTTAAAGCCTGACAAGTACGTAACAAAATTATTTTGTTGTTTATTGAATATTTCATATGTTGCCTCTTTTTAGCTTATTAATTACTGCCCTTGGTCACATTAAACTTACCGATTTCGGACTCAGTAAAATGGGTCTTATGTCCTGTAAGTAATAACAAGAAAATTGGAATTCTTAAAATGTATTTGGTATATTTATAAGACAAATTTCAAATATTTTCAGTGGCAACAAATCTTTACGAGGGCTATATTGATAGGGATACGAGACAATTTTCAGATAAACAGGTTTTTGGCACACCGGAATACATTGCCCCTGAAGTCATATTGCGCCAGGGGTATGGTAAACCTGTTGATTGGTGGTCTATGGGCATTATACTATACGAATTTTTAATTGGCTGTGTGCCATTTTTCGGTGATACTCCGGAAGAGTTATTTGCTCATACGGTTAACGGTGATATTATATTATATTTTTTATAATATGAAAGATATTTAAAAAGTATTTAAAGTATAAATAAAATAATTATATAGATGATATCGAGTGGCCTGATGATGATGATTGGCCTGTTCAACCGGAAGCTAAAGATATTATAACAGCATTGCTACAACAAAGTCCTAGAGATCGTTTAGGCACTGGTGGATCTCACGAAGTAAAAGAACACCCATACTTTTATGGAGTAAATTGGAATAGTTTACTCAGGCAAAAGGCTGAATTCGTACCGCAATTAGTTAATGATGAGGATACAAGTTACTTTGATAGTATGTATCATACTTGTTTTCTTTTAGGAATGAAGTGTAACGAATCAATAATATTTCAGCTCGTATGGATAGATATAATCACGATATAGGTGACGATACTGATACCGATGACTCTCCTTTATTTGGATCTTTTTCCTCATACTCTCCACAATCACGAAAAATATCTCAAACCCGTCCACCGCAAATAAATTCTGAACAAGCAGAGTCCGATATCTCGAAGAGACAATTATTCCGTACTGAACTTGAACGTACAGTTGCTCAATTGTCTTTCGGATCTAATAGTTCATCTACTCCTCCATCCAAGTTAGCGGAATCAACTCCGTCAGAAAAAAATCGATCTTCTTCGTCCATTAAAAATACCACGTATATAGAAACACCACCAAAGGCGGAGAAGTCAAACACATCATTCACAAGCCCTGCTACGGTCACCAGCGGCGAATCTCAATTGACAGTTATTAAAAATAGTCAAATAGAAGGGACGTCCGTTAATTTGAGCACTCCCGATTCCTCGCAAACGGAGTCTGAGGATATCAGTCCGCAGATCCAGAGAAAGCGACATGTGCATTCCCGTGATAAGCTGCCCAGGTTCAGTATATGCATTGATGATGAACACATGTGAGTCGTTCAAACATACATCTTCCCGAACATAATGATCGTTGTCATGATATTACTTTCACTCTCATCAAATTCTATGCTTTAATATACATATAAGTCATTTTTTGATGCATATCTGGTAAAAAGTAATATACATACTTATAATGAATAAATTTTATTCCAGGTTGGACCTGATTGCAGCAAACAGAGATGCAACTGAGGAAAGCAAGCATAATTCTAGCACTGATTCTTTCGAATCGTTTAGTGCTATGCCAATTATATCCGCGAAACAAAAGTCGCGTTCTGTGATTAAGTCCGCATCCACTAGTGGATTGTCATTAGTTATACCAGCTAGTGATTTCTCTTGTATATGTCATTATGAACGAAATTGTTTCATATTACATTTCAGTGTTCTATTTTAGTTACTAAATCATACTTTTTAGATGATGCTTCATTAAATACTCAACCAATCGAATCTCCTGGTGGATCGTCTACTGCTTCTTCAAGAGATACGTCTCCTTGTCGTGAATTGAGTCCATTGGTAACCAGTTTAAAACCTCCTATTATCATTCGAAGAGGACCGTGTGGATTTGGCTTTACTGTTCATACTATTAGAGTTTATTATGGTGATAGTGATTTTTACACCATGCATCATCTGGTGATGGTACGTTTTAAATGTTTGTATAAAGTCAAAAGTTCAATGTGTATAGTATAATTGAATTTATTTCATACTTAACAGGCTGTTGACCAATCCAGCCCAGCCTTTGAAGCTGGTTTAAGACCAGGTGATCTTATAACGCATATAAATGGCGAACCAGTACAGGGTTTATATCATATACAAGTTCTTCAATTAATGTTGAGTGGTGGCGATCACGTAACATTGCGTAGTACACCATTAGAAAATACTAGTATTAAAACAGGCGGAAGAAAAAGAGATCTGACTCAAAGTAAAATGGCACGCAGAACGCTACATAAACAGCGTAAATTAAAACGTGATCATTCTGACAAGAAACGAAAAACGTCCCTTTTTAAACGAATCAGTTCGAAACGTGCTAGCGTAGAGATGCAACAGGTATAAAAGTGTATTTTTTGTTTTTGCTTTCTAATTTCTTTTAATTCGAACTTTGGTCAGTGGCTTTTGTCAAATCACTCCTGTACATTTTAAACAATACCTTCAATTGTGAATTTGTACAATGTATATTTTTCTCTTAACTCAAACTTATTTCTACTACTATCATCACTACTACTAGTATTACTATTGCTGCTATTGCTACTTACTGCTATTACTGTTATTAATACTACTACTACATTATTATCACAACTATTACTACTACTACTACTACTACTACTACTACTACTACGATGACTACTACTAGTACTATTACTACAACTACTATTGCTAGTACTACTACAGCACCGGCAGTTTCTATGCAACACACATTATTATGTTAAGTGTTACTTTTTTTTTTATTGCAGCCATTAACTATCAGTTGTCCATTGTCAGCACCCATTCTATCCAGTGACAGCAAACCTCCACTTATGGTATGATTTTTCGTAACGTTTCGTGATCTTCTTGCTAACTTCATTTTAGTTGCTGTTTCTTTGATCAATACTTATTTATCCGATTCAATCCCGCGGCAGCTTTTAAATATTTTTTTCTTTCTTCAATTAACCGTGACAGTATAAAAGTTCTACACTATACACCGATCACAAAAGATATTTGAGCGTTAAAAGGAAGAGAGTTTGATGTTACATTCTCTGGATGGTAGTATTATAATAACATATCTATCATTGAAGGAAAATATTACTCGATTTTCTTCCAGATGGCTGCAGGAATTTGTTCACCATCGATGGTGACGCCTAGTAGATCGTTCCAGTCATTCACACGTTCTCAAGAGACGTCACCATACTTCGCAACATGTACAAAGTCCGTCTGTAGTCCATCCCCGCCAACAAATCGCGTTAGTTCGGATTCTTATCACTCCACGGGGAATTCGAGTCCCTGTTCCAGTCCAAACTCTTCATCTCCAGGTTCCACTACGTCTGCTGCAAATCTACCAACTATCGCTAATCAATCTCACTATCAGAGACCAAGCACGCTTCATGGTTTGAAACACAAGTTGCACACGGCTGCAAAAAACATTCATTCGCCGAACCGTAGAAAATCGGTGGGACATATACCATTATCCCCGTTGGCTAGAACTCCGAGTCCGTCGCCACTTCCCGCTAGTCCCACCAGAAGTCCTAGTCCGTTAGCATTTCCTACGGGACACCAGCCTGGTAGTTCAAATACTACGCAGTCTTATAGTCCAGGTAATAAATTAATATAAAGAGTTAATAATTTTGAAGTGATTTTAAGTAGATCTTGATATACTACGTATATATTTCAAAAAATATTTCATGCATAAGGTGTCTGCTTATCAACGCCAAACAATCAGAAGAAAGGCTATGGGCGACCGAAGTCAGCGGAACCCGGTTCTCCATTGTTGAGGAGAGCACTCAGTCCAGATAGGCTTCATCCACGATCCGCAGAGAATAAAACATCAATTTCACCGTTGGCAAACACGGTAGTGAAAGTGACTCCCCGTGCAACCATAGCGCAATCTTATTCCGAAACATCCGAAGAGTGTAGTGATAGCTTTAAAGAGCCGAATGACTCAAAAGTAGAGAAGAAAATATCAACGGATCAAAAGACGGATTATTCAAAGATATCTCATGGAATATCGATCAATTTGGGTAACGTGGGTATATCTAACTCCTGCGGCAGCACTCAGCTACCCAGAATAGCAGAGGAGAAGGATTCACCAACCGGTTCCAAGGCTGATGATTACTCAAAAGAAGTTCAAGGTTTAGATAAGATCGATAAAAACAATGCGTCTACAAATAAATTGGTAGAGTCAGAGAATATCGTTGAGCGTTGTGACCGTGTTGATTTGAAGATAGAGAAGCAAAATCCGTGTACGAAAAATTCAGAAGCCTCCACTATTAATAAAATCGAGTTGAGTAGTCAGTCGGATAATTCTTCTAATATACAATCGCGTAGTTTACTAAGTACATCTCATAAACAATCTCAGAATACTGAGAAAGGTTCGCTGACTTTGATTCAGAAAGCATCACAGAGTAGTGAAAAAGGATCTTCGCATCAGAAAGCGTTGTTTCAAAGCAACGAAAAAAGCTCGCAATTTCCCAATCAGAAGGTATTATCGCAAGTCAACGAAAGAAGCTTCTTGCAAACTGTAATGCAGAAGTCATCTCAAAACAACGAGAAGGCCATAGAAAAGGTTGCGTCACAGAAACAGCTTCAAAATAGTGAAAAGTCAAGTGTATCTCATAAAGCGATGGAGCAAAAGGCAGCTGGAAAAAATTCCGAGGCTAATTCTGAAGGGAGAAAAATATCGAAGAAGTACAAAGTCGAAAGCTCTGATAGTTCAAGTAACATTTCTTTTACACAACACACGAGCACATGTGAGGCTACGGGATCTGGGAAGGACAAAAAAAACAATTGAATAACTATCGTCTGAATGATCGATAAGTCTAAAGATATTGGGATAAAATGTCCGCGTATATAACGATCAGATTTTTTTCTGTCAATGAAATGAATTGTCTGCTCTTTTTAAAACTTGTTTCTGTTTTCAATCAAATTTCACAGAAAAGGAAAATTGAATGCCTGATGGATACACGGACGCACACATTGTAAGTCGAGTAAGATCAGAGTAATGGCGAATCAAAAGAAAGTAAACTGATATAAAGTTTACAGCTTTAAAAGGAAGTGGTTTGTACTGGAATTAAGTATTTATAGGCTTCCATCGAATAATATACCTGAACACATAGCTTTAGCTGGTATTTCTATCTCATGGCGGTATATAAGAACTACCGCTGTTCTATAATCGTAATTTTTGTCATACAATCATTGAATACAAACGTAATCAAGATAAAAGTAGAGAATAACTTCGATTAAGTACTATTTCAATGATTTTAATTGAGTGCGGTTTGTTGAAATTACTGTTGCTAATTCTCTACAAAAAATTAAGGAAATCGAAATGAAAAAAATTGGAGTAATTTACACTTCGGGCTACAGTATTTAAACGATCTCATTTACATTTACGTCTAATTATTAGCGCAACATATATGGATCAGCATATAACAGTTAGCGAATCGCGTACAGATAGCTTCCCAATACGTGTAATGTTCGTAAAGTAAAAAAAAAATAAAAATAAAAAAATTGGAAGCAATATGTATCGTATATACTCGTGATCCAGATCTAAGTGTAAACGTTTTAGCGATTTCTTTCCTTTTTTGAATTTCTTAAAAACATTACTAGACAAAAACTGGACCTGAAGTAAGATGTATAAGAAGAAAAAGCAACTAATTAGTTTCGATGTTTGATAACAAGATATTTATGAAGATTTGCGAAATATTGATATTTTGAATCATTGAATAACCATTTGCCTTATAGGAATTGTGTTTCATTTAATGTTAATTACAAAACGAATTTTCCGAACAAAATTTTTTTTTGCCGGCCTATAGCGCGAGTATGTACGGTAAATGATTATCGCCGTAATAATTAGTGTACAAGATGCTCCCGTATGCACAATAATTAATTCTTCTGTTTTATTCGACGACACGCTGTGATGCATTTAATTGAAATTAATGCGAATTGGTGCTAATATTTCCCACTCAGGTATTCTCGCGCGTGAGAACTGGTGCTCTCAAACAAGTTTCAAGTACCTAATTCACCCACTCATTTGCAGAAAATGATTTAAAAAGCAGAAGATATAACAAAAAAGGGGGAACATTAAAAATCAAGAAATAACGATATAGCAAGAACGTACGAACATATTGTATGGGCAGCATCTTGAGGATTTTTCAGCGATAAAATGAAGATAAAAGTTGTGAACATCTCAGAAGTCATACTTGGTCCACTGAGACACGTAATCACTTTTTAGTATTAGGTATTTGTTAATTTATTCTGTATATATTTAAAAGAAACACTATGTATTAGTTAAGAGTAAAAGCGTATGTTTTAATCGTGAAAAAACAAAAAGAAAAGATATTGTGACTGAAATGAGCCGCGGTTTTTGGTATTTGTAAGTTGTTCACCGCGTTTTTCGGCGCTTCTTTCACAAAAGCTCGCTTATACGAAAAAGGAAGCATTGCCATAAAGAGCAACACGATATATATATATATAACGTATGTGTGTCTCTGCCATAAAAAGGTACATTTCAATGTCAACTTTTAAATGTATTGCTGATCATTGTATTAACGATAACCCGAGCAATTGTGGTAGTATTTCTTTTCTTTTTCAATTTTCCACAAGAATGAAATATGTTTGTGTTTGTCACCTATTAATTAGAGCAACGAGGAAAGTGAAGTAATTTAACGATATTGAATATCAAGAGTGTAAAACGAGCTCATATTGCGTTATGTATTGTACACCGTTTTAAATATAAGAATAGACGATAAGGGAAAAACTGGCTTTAGAAGAGTAAGCAGCATTACAAGACACGGTTCCGAGCAACATCATTTTTATGCATCCTTCTCCGGAGTACTTTTTTAACGTAAACAGATGCCCGCGATAAATTCTAATTCGAAATGAATGGTATATCGTTTATCTTAATTTATTTCACACGCAAAGTAATTTGGCTGCGTTCGACTTTTATATGCGTTTATAAAATGGCTTCTCAACGTTTGAAGCGATACGATTAATCTTAAGGCTTAAGAAGAGGAAACTCGCGTGTCGATTATTTAACAATTGCATAATGTTCTGCTTTGTTATTAAGACTTTTTTAAACAGCCATTATTGCGTCTTTCCTATTTGTCCGTATACCCTTTTCTCTGCTGAGCGTATGGTTGATACACGATCGATGTCATAGCGTTGATGTCTTAATTAAGAGTCTAGTAGTTGTATTGCGTTTCCCGAGGATTTCGAGGCAGCTTGGACGTTCTTTCGAATCCAACGAATTCGCTGCTCCACGAGGCTAACTCGATTAAGAAAAGAATGAAGAAACGATGAAAAGTGTAAAAGTAGAAATGCGTTGTAATCAGGAACAAGGAAGCTCCGAGGAAACATTAAATGTTTTTCTTCGAGCATCTCATGTTAAATCTTGTTTAAAAATGGAAAGAGTATGTTCGGCACGGATTCGAAAACTCAGAACAAATTCCAGGAAACGAAGAAAGAAAAACCAATCGTCCCGAAGATTTCGATAGTCGCGTATTATTAACCTATCGTAGTAGACATATAATATAGTAACGAAACTAAAAAGAACAATATAGAAAAGTAGAAGAGCCACGATCGTTATTTTCATTACTTTCGCTTTATAGGTCGTTTCCATTCACGTTCTGCACATAGATATGTAAGTGATACTAATTAGCGATATGCGATGGATCAATGGAGTGCGAGCAACTTCCGGTTCTTAGTTATAAGAGCCGATCGTAAATGAATGAGCGAAAAATTCAAAAGTAACAAAAATGATTGATCGAATCGGCATCATATCATGCATACATGAATTGTATTTGAATTTTCACTGAAAGAGAAGAAATTTTTTAAGCGAGGCTTTTCTACGCATTGTACGCTCTCTGTATGATGTACGGTTCGAGGTGATCAATGCTTTGTTTGTTGAACATTATTTCGTTACGTTTACATGGATTGTAATCGCTATATGAAATTCATTAATTCTTTGAAAGTTGTTTTATGAGGCAAGCAAGCGTTAAAGATGATTCTCCGCTGGCGCCAAGTGTTGTTTTGTTCTTGAGTCGACGGTCCTGGAACTTCTTTGACTTGTTGTCGAGCGTGAAAAGCTTAAAACAGCTTCAAAAACTGTTGCTTCGTTGTATATGTTTATTTTTCCTGTTTCGCGAGAGTAGAAGAAAAATTGTAACTGCATAAAAATAATAATAAGAAGAAATATTTATATAAAACGGCACCATATCCGTCTGGAACTGTTTCGTTTCTATCATAGATAATTAAACGGTTGTAGAAGAAAAATCATAAAAAGCGGCGCTTTACGATCAATATTCGAGCTCTTTTTAACTTACTTTTTATATCCTTCACTCCTTTTTAAGATCTTCGATGGACTTTGTTGTTCTTTTTTTTTCTTTGTGATAAGTAAACAGATATTCTCCATGAGAATGTTTATTAGCGAACTCGATGAAAGTTTGATAATTATATTACACACTCTTCACATGAAATACAGTTTCGTTTCTTATTATGCTGTTCTCTGTTTATCCTCTCAGTTCCATTCGTGACATCCTATACATGATCGACGCCGATATTTCGATGAAACGAAAAATGAAAATTGGAGCAGGTCAAAGGTGAACGTACCTTGGTAACATTTTTCGGGATCATCCTTTTGCATCAGTGACGTTCAACCGTGACGTTTCTGTAATATTCAGCCCAGTCGTTATTGCCCTTGAATAGAACCTAAAAAATATAAACATATTTTTGCCTTATAAAGTATAAAGTATAAATTATAAATTTGAATGTTAATATCCACCGTATTTCTTTTTTTTTATGCAACGTCACATTCATTTCAGCTACCATATTTTTCCTAACACATGATTACATTAAATTTTTTGCAAGCAATGTCTATGCGCTTTGGCGCGTTTTACTATTAATCGTTTGAACAGTGTACAGCATGTTAACTCGCAACGTTCTAATCATTTACGTCTATGGAATAAAGTTATATTTCACGCAAAATCTTCGTTCATTATTTCGATACTGGAATATTCGTATATTTCAACTTGACCCAGGATTTTTAGGTCACCTTGTATAACATAGCATCATTAAACGGTAATTAATATGACAAAGGAAAAAAATAAAGAGTGAGGAATTAAACCCAATACTTGTACAATTAATAATTTCTAAAAGATATTTTAATTGTAAGTGTCATGACATTTAATACTTTACAAAAATTCAAATTTTTTAAAGCTTTCTTTAGATGTCCTTAAAATGGAAAGAAATGTATCAATCGTTAATGGACCAAGGTTCCATGATTATGGTACAGCACTGAAACCGTATTTGATGACTAGAAAGATGGAGGGGATAGGTGATTACGCATGTCTCGTGTGTGGATCAACATCTCAGAGTTTCAGTTCTCCTTGGGAGACTTCAGTATGAATCGAGACGGTTAAGTAGGATTCACGATGATGAGGCTCGTCATACTCTTGTCTCTCTGTGGCATGATCACTGGCATCAACAACACTCTAAACAACGTAATCCTGAACAACAAGCGACTGGATTTAGGAAGGCAGAACGAAGAGTATAGACCTGTGGAGAATAGAACTTTGAACGAGGTCTTCGCAGATGCTGTTCACGCTTATCTAGAAGAAGACTGGGACCGCTGTATTGAGGATTTTAACATAGTTACTTACAGGTGAATCTGAAATAAACGTTATAAAATAGAATAAAATTACAGTAATACTTAAATTAAGAATAAGGAAAAATAATTTACCAAGAATATTTAGATAAAGGAAGTTTATGACAAAAATGAATTGAACTTTTAATTTTTAGGCATGATGAAATGAAAAGTGTTTTATTATGTCCCCTATTATTTTGGTTTTACCTCATACTTTTTCAGGTATAAGATTTATAAGCGAATGATAGTAAACTGCAGACAAAAGTGCCGTGTAGAAGCTGCCGGTGCTCCACCGATTTTCCCTGAAGACATTGAGGATTTACATTTTTATGAAAAAAAAGTAAGGGAGACACTATGTCTTTTAATGTGTAATCAAGAATATCTTGACATCTCCGGCTCGAAGACACTTAAGACGCTGTCACGTGAGACTGAGCAAAAATTGGTTGACAATCGTGTTTATGAGTACCTGCACATCTGCTATTATCAGGTAAATAAAATATAAAAAAATTACGAATAAGTTTTTTTTAGATTAAGCCTAAAATTGGAACATGTATACTGCACAAAATAATTAAAAAAAGCGGAAATGTGAACAGACAAAAGTAATAACTAATTCGTATAACAAATACGTATCATGTATTGTAAATCTACATGATGAAATATGAGTATGGGAGTTCCTAATTATTTTAAGCGATCCATGGTAACTACATTTTAAATTTGTCAGAAACCTGACATTCCATAAACGAGCCCAACGAATTCTAATAACAGAGCTTACGCAATCGCAGTTTCATAAATCCCACACCAGTCATTTTTTAGTAAATAATGAGTTTAATGTTCTGAACTCGACTAGGACGGTCGTAAAATTCAGCGCCTACGTAATCGGTATCAGAGCTTATTGTACATGTCAGGTTATATGCATAAAATCACTCCGAAAACAATTAAATTTCGTGATTGTGTAAAATGTGATCCTTTGATAGATAATATTCTAATTTTCTATTTTTTTCTCCTTTTTTTTTATAGAAAAATCGATATCAAGATGCAGCCAACGCGTTATATACGTTTTTAGTCTTATATCCACATCATCAAGCGAACGTGGACATTTTGAGACACTATCTGACACTACCAGGCGTACAGGATGAGAATGTGGTAAATCTAGAAGCACTAACTTATGTTAGTATCTACTTCAAAGGTGTTTCAGCTTACAACAGTGAAAAATACGCAGAAGCCGTCAGCCTATTCGAAGCATCATTAGAGTCGTACTTGGACAGCGAGAACGAATGCAGGTTTTATTGCGAAGGCCCCTTTGATCAGGGCTGGCATCCGGAGTTTACTTCCTCCCTCGCTAGTGAGTGGATCTGAAACATAAACGAAGATAACATTATAGACCTCTAAAAATAGAAGCGGCAATAATTCGATTCTTTCTAGATCATTTTGCGTACTGTTTAAAATGCAAACGAGCCTGCCCGCGTATATTAAATACCTTGAATGGCGATTACCGCAAGGACATGCTGCGTAGTCATTATGATTATTTACAATTTTCTTATTATAAATGTGAGTATATTTATTGCTACAAATATGTTGCGATTACAAAATGAATTAATAGAAATTCTGGTGACTCGACCTCTAAATCTTAATCGTGTTTCGTGAATTTCAATTCTTTATTTTTTTTTACGATTCTGCGAAAATTCCTATGAAAATATACAAAATATTTGTATATCTTCTCTTACCTAAAACGTGTATAATTTGACCTATATAAAAGGTAACGATATATTGACCAATTTATCGCTACTGTGTATCCTGTTGAAGTAATATTTATTTTTGAGAATTCTTATCGTGACCAACAATTCTGTGAGCCTTGGGGACACATGGTTTGATAAACACGAAGTTGACTGATAATAAGATCTTCGATATTTAGTCTACGAATTGGACGTTTCATAGTTATTACAGTAAATTAATAATTGTGCCTCAAATGAGGCTCCTCTGGAAACTGTTAGTCATAACTCGAAGGAAGTTTAATTGGATTAATCTTGTTTAAGTAGACAGCCTGTTTCATTTTAATAAACGACTTCACTTTCATGAAAATTATTCCGAGTTGTTGCCTAATCTAGTTTTTTGCCGTTGACCTAATCTCTCGTTGAGCCAGTTTATTTCGCACCATGAACAGCCTTGTAAAACATTACACTGAATTAGTTATGATATCAAAGTAACAAGTATCATCACGTGCTTCCACAGTGGGAAACTTAAAGGCAGCTTGTGCCGCTGTTGAAAGTTACTTACTCTTCAATCCAGTGGATAAAACTATGTTGCAAAATAAGGAGTATTATAGTGCTCAGCCAAAAGTCATGGAAGATTATTTTTCTCCGAGACAGGTGATCATTCATATCTAGAAAGATAAAAATATTAAATGGTGTAATATTCTGGTGTAAGATTAAAGTTATATTCTTTTTCTTTTTTAGGAAGCTCTTAATTACGTAAAGCGACAGGAATACGAATTGAGTCTTCTACGCTACATTTCTGACGAATTTTCAGTTATAGATAAGAATTTTAAGAAAACAAGAGGAAGCAAAATACCAAAGAACGGGACAAATTATATTAATATAAAAGAGGTAACAAATGAAATATAAAAAAATACTCAAAAAATATTTAACGTTTATAAGTTGATCAATTGTTTACTCAGTTTATACATGTTCATATGTTAGAGGAAATCTTTGCTTACATACCTGTATTTTTTTATAAACAAAAAGAAATAATAAAATACTCACAAGCAGAAATACTTCTTTTTATCAAATAACTATTTTATTTATTGAAATTATGTTTCTATAGAACATTATATTATTCGATTGCTTGTTGAAACGCCTATATAATGCAACCCAAAATGCATTCATGCATTTATTGCGTTATCATACAGGCGGTCATACTAGTTAATTTAAAATTTACAATTGTAATTGACTTTTCTAGGATTACCTCCTATTTTTAAACTAGTTGCAAATGATAAAAGCATGAAGTTCTTTCTTATTTTCAGATATCTGATATCGAAGCACACCCACAGCCAGCACCGGAATATTCATTGTTTTCTTACACGAGATTGTTGAATAATCTTTCTATAGCACGTATTGGAGATTACGAGACGCATAATACAAAGCAATTCAAGATAAAAAATGATATTTATTTAATAGCAAAAGAGAAAGATCTTGGGGGAAGAAATCGTTATGTAGCTGATGGCTTTCTGAGCTTCACCGAGTGTAAATCTTTGATGCAATTCGCTTCTGTATGTATCACTATAAAGTTCTAATTTACTTAAAATATATCACTGTATTATCAACTATAGTAAGCTACATGCATATAGACGACTGCAGTAGAAGGAGATGGTTACAGTGAAAATAAAAGTCCACATTCAAAGCACGAAAAATTTGAGGGACTAACTATTGGAAGAACAGCTTTGGTAAAATGTTTCTTTATACTGTACTATAATAACATGGTAATATATTAACGATAATAATAATAATGATTTTAGATGGTATACATTGGGCAGATAGAACCAGAGTGGTTAGAATTGCTTCTACAAAAGACTGAACAAGCTCGGGACCACGTGGAAAGGTATTTTGGACTCGATCGACCGCTCTATTTCACCTACACTCATTTGGTCTGCCGTACGGCTCTACCTGGTAATTTTCATCTGATGCATCATCGTGCTTCTGGTTCCTTTTGCAGCCGAAATCGCGTTGCACCGATTCACTTGGTACGACTCGTGGGTAACGGCGACCAGTCAAAGTACAACTAAATAATCAGTTTCCAATTCAAAACAAAAGCGCATTTTTTGTACAACTTTCAATATGTTCGAGATTCTTTCTGCTTCTCCAATCTAAAGAAAACATAAGAACAACGAAAGAGTAAATATCTTGTAGTAAAACAATAAGATAATCCTTATCTTTTTAGATTCGCCATTGGACCGAAATGACTTGAGTCATCAAGTTCACGCGGACAATTGTCTGTTGAAAGACAAAAATACCTGTCTTCGTGAAAGTCCAGCTTATGTTTGGAGAGATTACTCTGCAATTTTGTATCTGAATGATAATTTTCAAGGTGGTGAGTTCTTTTTCGCTGAAGATAACGATATTCGAGAGACGGATAACGTTGTTTCGCCACGTTGCGGACGAATGGTTGCTTTTTCTGCTGACGAAGAAAATCTCCACGGTGTTCGCGGCATCCTTCGAGGTAGAAGATGTGCTTTAGCCCTCTGGTTTACTCAAGATGAAAACTATTTGGAGTATGAGAGAATATTGGCTTCGGCAATCTTACAAAGAGTTCGACAAATTGGACCTCTTGAGGGAAAGAATATCCAGGTGCCTTTAAAGTAATACTGGATATACTGAATACTTTTAAGTTATGTTATTAAATAACTTATTCTCTAAAAATATTTTTTTCAATCTTCAGATACGAAGATATACTTATCGAATACGTCCACACAGATGAATTGCTAAGACAGTTTTTAAAAAATTCTCCACAATAAAAATGTAAATGGTTGTGAAGGGCAGCTGTAACATTTTCATACAATTTCAAGTTCTTTTAAAGAAAGAAAAATAATTTAAGTAGTAATATATACATATATATTTTTTTTACGGTCGGATACTTGGCCTAATATTGAAACTGGGGACCTGAGAAAATATATCGATAGAAGCTACTAAGAGTGATGAATCTTAGTAATCATGTGTCGAACTATAAATTCAATTTTCCTGTACTTATAACGAGATCATTTATTAAAATGACTTGCCATACAGGCACCGAACACTTGACTTGTCTGAACTGAAAGCCGATGATAAACTGTTTAAAACATGCATGGTCGCTTATATAAATTATATAAAATCGAGCTAGATTATTTTTATATTATGTTATATATATAATATAAAATATATATTATAATAGGTATAGTAAAACTTGTAAGGAATTTGTTCAAAGTGTTTCGTACTGATTATAATGAAATCAACACGCAACACTTGTTGCAGTCCTTTTCTGATATATTTTTTTTATTTTTATACATTTCGTATCGTTCGCAATTTTTTTCTGTTTTACTCGTGTCATTTCTTTTTCTTCTTCTAAGCGTACAAATTTTTGTTGATCTTTTCTATCGAACTTCATCGAAATATAGTCTCTGTTAAGCATAGTAGACCGACAACTTTATACATTACACACAAAATGTCAAATATATATATGTACACAATGTCCGTAGTCGCGGCAACTAATAGTTTATTTATATATAAAATATCCTAATCTTTATTAGAACATAGACATTACATGTCAACAGGCTTACATCACCATCCTATGTATCGTTTAACATGTATATCGTATTAATTTATTTTTCTTTGTATTTATACTATGTATAAGTATTTGTTATGTATATGCAATTGTATTGCAATCCTCTTTCTAACACATCTCTCGCTGTCTCTCCCTCTCCATCTCTCTCTCTTCCCCTTTCTCTCTCTCTCTCTCTCTCTCTCTCTCTCTCTCTCTCTCTCTCTCTCTCTCTCTCTTTCATTCCTTTTTCATACTCCTTTTCTTTCATACATGACTTTCATAAGTCCTGTACACACGACTGCATTTCTTTTCACTTTTTATCATCAATTCGTTTTATACGTGTTTGCATGTATGTGTCTAAATGTGTGTCAATGATTTTATTTGCAAATGGATGAATTCGTATTCGTCGCTATTATTACAATAATACGTAAAAAGCGAATCGCATAAAATCTATTCATACGTTTTATCTTCGCGCAACTGTACGCATAGGAATCGAAAAAACGTACGTCCGACCGCAATGATGACGAAGGATGATCAAAGACAGTAGTCGAACCACATTTTTTTTAAACACCGTCAGTTCTTTGTTCGGGAATTCAGTCAGGAAGAAAGTGAACGCGATCATATTAACATTAATTATGTTTCGTTACAAATATTTATTACGAAATTATAGTGACATCTGCGTATCACAGAAGAGCTCAGTCGATTTTTCGCAGGAACCACTCCATATATATCGTATGCTCTTTCCTTTTCTTTTTTCCTCTATTTTTATTCCTTTTTTTTTTCTTTTTTATCTCTATTATTATTTTTTTTAACATTATCACGCACAACCATGTACTAAAGACAGACACTTTACTTTTCAAACTGTCGACATGTATAATTAAAAATTCTTGAACATATTTGCCGATTGAATATGTTACGAATAGCATCAATTAATGTACAATATTTAATGAAAAATATATATATTAACAAATTTGTTCATTACCAAATAAACAAACAACATCGAATGGAGTGGTCTCCAATTTTATCGCATTACTTAGATGGTTTCTTTATATTGCTCTTCGTAGACCTTTACTTCGTTTTCTCGTATGAGTGTATAATAGTAATAATAATCATTATTATAATAGTAAAATGAAATGTAAATTCGTAAAATATACGTGGAGCATCGCGGCTGAACGCTGAATAGTTTTCTTAAAGTGTAAAATCATCTTATAATGTACTTTTTAAATGAATGATTACTATAAAAAAGTTTGTCGTGCTCGTTATTTGGTAACCAAATACAGCAGTTCGCACTTTTTCTACGAATTATATCATAGCTTAAAGCATAATGCACTTTTAGAGCCAGGTAACGAATACCTTGCAACAAGTACCATTGCAACTCGTGTATAGATCACACTTGAATAAACTAAACTTTTGAGTATATCGATTAACCTTACAATTTTACCATAAAATTAAAATTTAATATTAAAAAGAAGATATAAAACAAAAAATTTTAAAAAGTAAATAAAATTTTATTAAACTCTTGATTTAAAAATAAAAATGTTAATTATAAATAATAATAATAATAATAAGAAACAAGAAACGCGAAATAAAATCATTAATTGAACTATGCACGAAGATGCACGGTGTTTATTTATCAACTTGTTGCCGATATCTAAATTTGCACAAAAGGAAGCATCGTGTGTGCTGGACTATATAATATTCGATTTCGATTTTTCAGACTTATTCTTAAAGTTATTACTTCGTTTTTATATACACATATACATATACATACCCAACAGTATGTATGCACATGTAACTATCAATGGCCTGTCTCTAAAAACGGTTGATTCGCTTCGTGAATGTATCGCAAAATTATCGAAAAAAATACTGGAAAGAAAAAAGAAGATAACTTCAAGAGAAAATATAGTCGATTCTCGTTAAGAATTAAGAAGATACGTTAACGTTTTGGAGTTACTCGCAATCATTAAAAAGTGATAAATATAAAAAAATGCCTCTTAAAGATAAATATAGAAAAAATACTAGATTATTTTTACGATCGTAAAAGGACGAATCGATCGAAAGTTACGATCACCATAGAATTGCCATAAACTTATCTTGCGATTTTTCAAAAATTTAACGAAATCTGCAACAGTAGTCACGAATCGCGTAATTATCTGCTTCGTTACAATATTAAAATTTCATTCTTATACGTTTTAATAAAGCATTTCTTTTTATCATTAATCGTCAAATTTCATTTAACACACTGAACTACTACTAATCTATCGATCAATTGTTCTTAACGTCTTAACGACCTCGCTATCTTTTTCGTTCAAACATGAAAAAAAATGTGTCGCTATTTTTTTCTATTTACAGTATTTATAGAAACAGAGTTTAATGACTTGCTAAAATAAAAGAAAAAAAAAAAAAGAAAAGAAAAACAATTTCATTTTGGGAATTATTAATTTTTAAACTTTTTCTGACTGTATATATGTAACGAATATGTACTTATTTCGCAAGTGTATGCGTTAAAATTGCGTTAAAAATTTATAAAGGAAATATTGGCCTCTCATGTAGAATATAAATATTGATGTACAAACACGAAGTTAATTAGCGTTACAGAACCTTTACATTCTTTTTTTCAAGAATTCTTAACGATATGATATCAATATATAATAATTATATTAAAATTAACGCAAAATTGTAACAATAGATTGAGAACATTGTACTGTTTGATAAACTTTTTGGAGCTTTCTCGTGCTATTCCATAAAAAAAGTTATAACATATTTTGATTATCTATATATACATATACATACATATATACATATATCTACATATATATATATATATAGATATAATTTACATATATATATACATATATATGCTATATATACATACATATAGAATGATACATATATATATGCTTATATATACATATATATACGTACATATATAGAGAATGGTACATATATATATGTACATATATAAACGATAATATGGCGAGAGTATCGTGGCGAAAATTATGCTGGACACCAAAGGTTTTATGCGAAAATGGGCTACTTACTCCCCAACAGCTTAAACATTTCTGTTGTCGTTATCGTCGCCGCCGTCGTCATCGTAGTTACACTTTGTTTACGCATCACATATAAACTTTACTAAAATAGTACAATCTAATCGAGAATATATAGAAAAATTGAAAAATATACAAGTTATAAAACACATAGAACGTCATTCATCAGGTAGCGAGTGACTTACGAAGTCCAACTATGTTTTTCGTTACATTGCTATCCAAGTATTTTCTTCACCTAGGATCATGTATCATAGCATACTCATCCTGGTTCACGAAGATTTTTATGACCTCCACTTACACCTTTCTCGTACCCAATATCCTTCCTTGTTTTCTTTTTGACTCATAAAGCGAGTAAACTTTACATCCTGCTACATTGAAATCACGCAGCACCACGGCTTCTGTACAAATTATCCATCTACTATATATCCTTAATATTGTATCGCACACATTCTTTGGTATCCAACAGGCTTCCCCACGCCGATTTCGAACAAGTGAACGGACATTAGTCGTGGTATGGGCAGTGAATGAACAAGCGAATACCAATATTAAATGGGCAAACTCTCCCACTGAGGTGCCCATTCTGGAAGTCGTCAATCCACATTAGATGGCGGAGCAGCGTATCTACTCCGTGAGTCAGAATCTCCGTCACAAATATACTTTCCTGAAAGTACACAAGCAAATGTATTCACTCTATAATTTATGAAAACAAGGAAAATATATTTGGATATATCGCCAAAATTAAGAATGGTAATGAAACAAATAAATAATGCTAAAAGTATAACAAATATATCACTTACCAGATACAAATCTACGCTTTACTAAACTTAATCTATATCCCGGGCCTAGAAGCTCGAACTCAACTCCAGATAATGTGGTCCCTTCGCAATTAAACTGTGTATATATAGTTCCTTGGTTCCCTGGCCCGTGCCCAAGTTCTACTCGTGCTTTCAGAGAACCTACACCGTTACCTTCACTATGCTGTGATAGTTCTGTGAACTTCCACAGTACTCGATTCGTCTCTGATAACCACTGAGCCTGAGGTTTACTATTCAGTGACTTAAAACCTCCGTCTATGGGTGCAGCCACATGGAGGTTCAACAATGGACTCGGAGAAGCCATAGCGCGACTATTATATTTATAATCAATCTGTAACATCAATAAACCGCTTATTTAATAAAAGGTTGCAACACCAATAGATCCAGAGTAAGTACCTTAAGGTCGGTATGAGTCGTTTCGCATTTCCAATAGGCAACCAGCTGAAAAGGACATGAACTTGCGCCCTCTTTGCACTTGATCTGATATTTGAGTATGTCTACATTAAAATACGAAGCCGAGGGATTTTGCTCAGCCTGTTTGCGTAACAACGTAGTTAAGGCACTCATGTTGAATTCAAAAATTGTACTGTCGACAGTTGTTTGTGTAACATCCCTGTATAAAATATCAACATTCAGGCACCCACGAATAATTCCATTATTATTATAGCTATCCTAGCATAACTTACATGCTGACGAGCTGATTATTAGGGAACAATTTTTCCAATCTATTACTATTTCGCACGCGAAAAGTTAGCTTCGCAGGACTTGGATTATTTGCCAGCACGGCGACAATACCGGCAGGGAAGGACAGCATCATATCTCCACTGAGCTTTACCTGACACCGAGTTTCATCGGTACCTCTAAAATAAGAGTGTACTATCTCATGGAAGGCAACTGCTAAAGGAATAGTGTCTGCGAGTCCTATCGTAAGCGGAGATGGACCCCTAGAAGAACCAACTCCAACACCGGCTGTACGGAACTCCAAGCTAGCCACGCTGTCAGCTCTAGATATAGTTGCCGGTGACATTCTACCCCTTGGTGAAGGACCTTCTCCTCTTCGGGACGGCGGTCTAGGAATGATAATAGAACCTGTTGGAGTGGAGGACGCGGATTGTTTAGGGGGTAAGGCCGGAGTGATATCTCCCACTTCCGAAAATAAATCTCCATCTGTAAAAGATGAAACCTCATGAATTTATGGACTCTCTCTCTCTCTATATATATACACCCCCCAAGTGAAATGGTACACATAATATACAAGATACACATAATGACATATTTTGGCAAGACACAGAAAGCGTCCCGATGAGCTGAGAGTACAAAAATGTGACTCCGTAAACTCACCAGGGAATCGTGGGTGAGGATGTGTAGGTGGTGCGGATTGTGGCGGCTGTGGTTGAGGCGTCGGTGACAAAGACAGTGGCGGAGGACTTTGCAATGACGCGTACGGATGACTACCAGTTGGCGTTGAAGCACTCGATGGTGTACTGCTAGGATTGAACAAGTTTAGGCCAAGTAAATCCGAGCTTGGCTTACCTCCTAATTGCTGTGACACTGACTGAGACCTTTTCATATGATGATCTGAGTCGGTATTCGATCCTCTGCGTCCCTGTTATATAATCGGAACCATATCGTTGGAGAAACAAATCTCTGAAAAGAAACACGGATGAAAAGGAAAATACATACCGTCGGTGCAGGCGATAAAGATAAATTTTCCACTGTCGCCCTAAGTTCGTCTACGCTGGCGCTCATCGGTGCTCCGCCATTGCTAAGTGGTTTTATTTCCACCCGAATCTTTCGTTCCCTTTCGTCTTCGGAATCGGTATCTGAGCTAGAATAAAATCCTTTTTCATTCTCCCACGGCTCTGCTTTCGGTCTAATACAGAAACCATCCTCATCTACTTCTGGTGTCGGTGTTTCAGACTTTCTACTGTCATCCTTATCCTCCCTATTATATAGAATTAGCGTGGTTCAGTGGAATATACTTTCAAGAGTTCCAGCAGGCCCAGTGCATCATACACGCATGTTAAAATTTCTTTCTTTCCTCTTTTATATGTATCAAAAGATAAATTATTAAGAATTATGTTATCTTTTTTTTTTTTTTTTACTTTATACTATAGCGATTTTAATTTGCCAATAAAAATTGAAAAAGAAGTATAATAAGGAAAATGCTTAAAATCAATTCCATGATTAAGTTCTTTGCATGAAACAGTTATTCCTCTATGTTAATTTTTTGGTTCATTTTCAATGATATATTTCTAAGTTCGATCATGGGATTGATCTTTGGTGCACTAGATCTGCTGAATGTGCATATACTGACAGGTCAGACTTTTCTTCTTTGTTGCTACTCGTTTCCACAATATCCTTCTTCTTTTTCGCCTTCTTTTCCTTTCTTTTTTCTCTTCTGCTGCGAAGAAACCCTGTTGGTTGTGGACACATGATATGTAGAAATCAAAGTAGCACTTAACTTTTCGTAGTAAATCTGAATACCCGATTTTAAAAGTTCTTGTAAGATGACATGTATGATATGAACGATTATAGTAGGATAAACTCTAATTTCTAATTATAATGCTGATATCAAAACTCGATAAAAATTATTTTCTCGTGAATCGTGCATAAAAATTAAGGAAGCTTATTTATTGCTTAAAAAGATAAGTAGCTTTTTAATTATACCGAAATATTAAATCTACAGAAGCGAAGTCTAATTTTATGTACACGCATATAAGAGAAATAATTTTTATCCACTAATTGCTCTGTTGAATATCTTAATTAGAACGACATTACTCTTAACACAGAGTAAAAGGAAGTGACTAAAAACCAAAACTAAAAAGCGGAAGAAACTACGTTTGCGGTGTCAACGTATCTGTATCAAAAGAGTTAATGTGAATTTAATCGAGAAATTAATATAAAATCTGCGACTCAATGACAGGTAGAAATCAATTTACTTTCCAAGTGTTTAAGGCATAGCGCAACGTGATTAAATATCTACGGATTAAACAAAATGGTCATCACCGAATCAACAAGTAGCAGATGCATTGTTTACGAGCTCTCTCTTTACAACATTCTCTCTAATTATGCTGATATAAATTTCTGTCTCACTTACGTATGTTTTTCAAAACTGAAGAAAGAATCACTTTTCGATATTTCTGGACTTTTTCAACTTTTGCTTTTTTACAGAAAATATTTTGTTTTTTCTTGGAAACGCATCTCAAAAGATGTGAACGGAAAAACATATCAGCACATCTTAAAACTGCTTACAGAGATTTGACGCCTACGTTAAATTAGGAAAAAAACTATAGATAAGGGATACAGAGAATAGCAAATAAGTATTGCACGTTACATTAGCAGAGGTATAAGAAAACCCATACACCATCACCATCAAATCCTATATAGATCTGCAAAAGTCCAATCTCTTCTTAAATTGTTTTTCTAACAATTATGTATACAACCTACGATATTAATATAAAAATACAATTTCTCAAGACAATTTATAAAATGTGTATATGTACATATATGAGGTTGCGCAATTTATTCGCGTATGTGTACCTCTTATGTATTTTTCTAAAAATCAGTAGAGCATACAATACATATATTCTGCAAGCAAGGATATTAACTATCAACATGCAAAATTATAAAGTGATGAGAATTTAAGAACAAAATATAATAAATTTGTACTATAATATCGAACATTGTATAAATTAATCGTATTCAATTTGGCATTACAAACATTCAATGAATTAAAGAGAGAAAAAGAAGACAAAAAAAAAAACAGAAAAAAACGAAAAAGGGAAAAGACATCGCGATACAAACAAAAATTTACGATAACTACATTGGACAATGATGCAATTAGTAAATAAAAAATGGGTTGCTTGCAGAATCACATTACGCTATATCGTGAAAGATATCTGCACTTGGAAAATAAATACAGGTTGCAAGTGAGCCATGCAGTAACAAACTCATAAGAATGGCTCACCTGAGGCTCCGTCAGTAGCCAACCTCACATTTTTATTTCAACTTTATCCAAATCCAACTCCCTTTATTTTATTTATTCTATGAGAACATGTGTTTATGATAAAGTACTAGAGAAAGTTTCAAAAATTAATTCAGAGTTGATCACTATGTTGTTTATATTCGTTCGAGAATTAAACTCGAGATTATCAATCATTTTTATAAGAGGAAGCAAAAGATAAGTTTATGAATGAATGCGCATGGCATAAAAAATGTTGCTATTGTATTGTATTACATTTTGTATAATTTAAATTTTAGAAACTTTCCAAAATTCAATTCTTCTTAAATCTAACTTTTAAATTAAGTCAATAATGTCTTTCCCATTGTGTGAGCATAAAATACAAATAACAAATACATATAAAAATTTTACAATGAATTGTGTTGATAGAAGAACCCCTTGATACAAGTTTACATAAAAAATTGTTAGAAAAACAATTTATATAAGTAACACTTTATAGAAAAAAATTGTTAGGTTGCTTGATTAGATTACCATGTAATTCTAGAACTAGAGCCTATTATCTAAGCAAGCTTTTTTCAGTGTTAGTCAAACAAGAACAAAAAATATTTCTTCCCACTAGTGTGGAATGTCTATAAAAATGTAAATCTGCTTTAAACTGACTGAAGAAATATTTTGAATGTGCTTCAAAAGCTAAGAATAAATTAATGTTACATAAATATCTCTCTAATTATCTGTAAATTAACAATAAATCATCAGTTATCTTACAGTATGATTCTATGCATATAACATTAATTTAGTGTGCTTAAACAATGTTAGTATACGTACATTGCTGATCTAAAAGAGTGCAGAGTGGAGGAACCATAATACGCGTTACCACTGTAAGTCACCAGATATTTTATTTAACCACATATCCTGTATGACCATAAAATAAATTATATTGGCAGAACTATGATAATGAAACTGTTACCAAATACCATAGATAGAGAACAACCAATAGAGCAAGATAAAGATAAAGGTATGTGAAAGGAGTGTTTCATCAAAGGTGGCCAATTAAAGTTGCACATAATGTTTTTTACATCAGTTCCTATTGAATAAATACTTGTTATTCGATTGTATTTTAATTAGATTATTAAGAAATTCAATATTTTCTTTATAATTAATTACACTTAAATAGCATTAAAAGAAAATTGATTGATGATATTTAAGATTATATATTCTTAATATTTACGAAAAGACCACCAATTAAATATTATTAGTAACAATGCAAGTACTTTTAAAACTCTATTAAAATAGAAAAAAAACTTGTTAACTTTAGTAGATATTAGAATTTCTTTTAAATAGTTTTTATAAAGATTTGAAAAAATGTTGCAATAAGCTATAGCAAATTACTATATTATATGTGTATAGATGTGTATAGATATACCCTCACCTTAAACACTTTAAACTAACTACCAAAGAAAGCAATATATTTAAATAAATTTCTTATATGTGTATATGTGTGTAAAATAGTACCATATAACCAATAGTCTAATAGTTACTATAAAATGCATGTAATGGATTTGGTAAAGGGTAAAGGTAATCACAATGTAAGCAGTTACATTTAGATCCTCTGAGAGGGTTCCTGGAGATGCTGGGAGGTGGAACAGCAGGAGGCAGGTTGTTCCCCTGAGGAGTTGCAGGTGCCGAACCAGACCCTGCTTGCTTCTGTTTGTCTGAAACAACACTCATTGCTTATATCTTTCAATGATCTGTGACTCCAATGGCCCTTTTTTCTTCATCTTGCTATGTTATATATTACTTATATCTATTAAAATTTGATTACAGTTTGCACTTTCAGTGGCATAAATAGCACTCCAGAGGGATGTTAGTTTAGTTAATATTTTATTATTTGAAGTAAATTGAAACAGGTTCTATAATCTCATAATAAAAACTATAGATAAATAAAATGAAGTTAATACTTATTACATTTTTTATCATCCTATACTCCTTTCATTACAATCACTAACATAAATCCAATATTTCAAATGAAAATTTAATATTAATATAAAGAAAGAAATATATTTATGAACCCCCTGGAATACATAATAACTTGTAATGTCATCCTCCACCTATTGTTAGATTATAACGCACAAGCATTGTAACACAACCACATAAGCATAAGTCAATAAAGTTGTTTCGCATATGCCTAGATCAATTAAATTTGTGATTGAGTGCTAAAAAACAAATTGGACAAGTGTATGTATGTGAATAGTAAAATAGTATCAACATGATAAATTAAAACTGCAAAATACATCTACCAAGATATAATGAGTTGAAAAATCATGTCAAATGTTTGAAATTGTTTATATTTTAAAAATTTTATTAATTGCAACATTTTTTTATCATTAAATTGGTTTATTTGTAATGATAATTTGTAATAATAATCAAAAAATACATTACGTCGAGGTAGATAAAAACTATTGCAATTAAAATATAATAAGATCTTGAAAATTTTATTCGACTTTGAAAACCTACCCTGGGAGTTGGACATGAACAGGTTGAGTAGCGAGGCAGTACGGCGGGAAGCCTTGGTGGCTTGTGCATGTGATAGTTCTCTATCTCTTTCATTCAGTCTTTCATTTTTTTTTTCTTGTACTGTCCCTTTTTCCTCATCCACCTGACAACCCTCCCCTTTTAATCCCCGATCGTTTTTTGAACTGTGAGTGTTACCAGCAACGCCTGTTTCTCCATTTGCTCCTTTTGATGTTTCCTTAGGTGTTTCAACATTGCTTTCCATTTGGGAATGACTGGTCATTTCTCCTAAACCCGTCATGATCTCTTCATATTCGAATGTACCTGATTTATAAAAAAATTATATAGAAAATACTAAAGTTTATTTTACATGTTACTAAAGATTTTACCTGGCTTCTCAAAACCTGTATATTTGCTTTGTACAAATTGTTCTAGTAATTTATCCACTGTCATGTCCAAACACTGCCGTTTAAAATCAATATGAACCTGACCAACTTGTTCGTGATTTGACTGTAAAACATCTGCATAAATATTTAAGAACTCCTTCATATGTTTTAAGTGTGTTTCCTCCACATCTTGAAACCGCTTAATAAGAAAAGAATAGGTTTATTAATATTGTGGCAGATCCATAAAAGAAATTTGGTAAATGATTGATAAATCAGATAAATACCCTGCATGCCTGTGTCATTTTAGTTTGAAAATCATTCCTTATGATCATGTATTTATCAACCAAAGTTTTGTAATCATCCTGTGCTTTTTTAAATTTAATCTCTGCTTTTTCTAATTCTTTCTGGCTAGCATTGTCTTTCCTCAATTTTTCTAATTCAAGCCCTTTTTGCATACGCATATCTTTTGCCTTATGTAAAGTCACAGTGATACTCTGAATACTTTGTACAACTTCCAAGGTGGATGATTCTTCTTCTTTTACCTACATGTTTTTTTGTTTTGTATTTCTTAACATTGTTGTTGTTAATGTTGTTTTTTGTAGTATAAATATAATTAAGTGTTGAAATCAGTTGCAAGAAGTAACATGTTAATTAATTAGTTATTTCAAATAATTATTTATCATTCTGATTTGATAAGTATTATCTTTATATCTTTGCAGACACTACTGTCAGAGAGAACCTAGTGACCTGACTGTGGGCGGATACTGATAAGGTAAAAAATATACAAAATGATTCATACTACTATATGATAAACAGTTGTAATAAATGCAATAAATAGAAAAATATACCATTGTGGCATAAAAAAGATTTAATTGACAAAATAAAATAATGAAATTTTATTACATAAGACATTTTATATGTTAATATAATCCACATTGTATTAGTTTATTAAATATGCTTAGCAGTCTAACATGCTCTACACTAATAATTATTTCAAAAAATAACCTAAAACTAACTTATTTCTAAATATTTAGATTAGGAAAGAAGGTTACATACAGCCTTGTGTTTTTTATGCAATTCATCTGTATATTTTGATACATCTTTTATTAGTTCAGTGACCCTTTGGGCCATTTGCAAGTGCAAACCAGCTAGCTTTTCTGCTGCACCTCTTAAGGCAGCCCAAACAGGTGCAAATGTTCCTTGTATACTACTGCTACTGCCAGCTTGTTTAGCTAGCTTACTCAGAACTTTATAATTATTTTCTTCTATAGTTGATCGTTCTTTTAGAAACTCAGCCAACTCCTTGCTTGCAACTGCACCATGCTTCATGTTATGATATAACACGTCAAATCCATTATTCTTTTCGCCCTTAAATTATAGAAAAAGTTCTTTTTGCCTAAATATTTTCTATCTTTTTTACAATATATTATTCTACATATTTTCATTTTCTATTCTTAATATAATGAAATAAATACTTTAGCATTATTTATTAATAATTATTAATATAATTAGAATATGATTGTTGCATTAAGAGAATAAAAATTTCATTTGCAATTAAAGTTATCATGTCTAAAAAAGATAAACTAAAACTATACTTAAGACCACTTAGCCACTTAACACTTGAACCATGATCATACTGTAAACTCACATAGAGTAGGACTCTTGAGTAACATCGGCGTAATAAACTGTCATTACATATTATTACTCTTATCATCCTATTGTACATATTACTTGTCACTCATGACACATGGTTTAATTTTTTATTGCAAACTTTACTAATAGAGAATAACAAAATCTTGTTATAACCAAATTAATAGAATTTAATATGATTTGTAAAAATTTATTTCCTTCTACACTTTTTTGTAAATTATTTTCATAAAAGTTAGAACGAAGAAGACAAGATGAATAAAAATCTTTTATTTTATAAATTCTTAAACACTACAATAAAAACTTTATTTTGTTCAATAAAAACTTAATTATATATGATATTTAAATCATTATAATTATAGCTTACACATAATAATCTTAAACAGACAAAATTTTAAGGGAAGCGAAAGGAAGTGGTAGCTATCTTATCTATACCATGCTTCTGTCAGGAAGACAATGTCATGACTTTCCAAAAATTTATGAATTCACAACCCTTATAATAAAATCATAGGAAATATTTAAATTTTTATATTGTTAAATTTCTTTAACTTATGAAAGGAACCTGAAAATTCTAATAACTTGTTTACAAATGGTATTTTTTATTTAATAGGCATTTACACTGCAATCATGTTAGGAAAAAAATATTCAAGATTTAGAAAATAGTCATATTATGTACATTAAAATATGTAAAACAGTACAAGAAGAAAATATAAATTAAATAAAATTAATAATATAATTAAAAGTACAACTTATAACGAAATATTCTAAAACTAATTAACAAAGCTGACAATTTCACTGTCTTCTACACTTAAACTATAAACATGCATAGAAAAAACAATACATATGTCAACGTGCAACCGAATACACATTCTTTTGTATTCTATCTTTTTTTTTACGTAGATTGTGGAGATGATGTGGAAACGAGATAACAGAGATGAAACGCGTAACCTTGCATTCGTGAAAAAGAATGAAGACAAGCGTGCCGTGTAAAGAAAAGAACAGGAACGAGGATGATTATGGTAAGGTGCAAGGAAGACAAAAGAAAAGATTTCATTAAGTGAAGCATGATAATATTTAGTCGGAAACAAAAAATTTTACGATGGCGTGACGTAAGGATGATCACGAGAAGAGTTCGTTAAGAGTTTACGCTCGAAGTAAAACGAAAAGGAAAGGAAAGAAGGTTTCTCTCCGTACCTAACCTAAATCTAACGAGGATGACATTCTGGGATAATAAGCGGAAAGACACTCACCCAAAAGTAGTCGGCGAAATCCACAGTCATGTTGGAACCGCGATCAGACCATCATAATTTATCTTCTGATGTACCAGGCCAAACTGCACCGTTAATAACGAATCATTGACACTCACATACACACACAGAGGACTACACGATGCAATGTCCGAGCCGTACAACAGATACGAGACGTAACTCAATTTACAACGAACCAACGTAACGTTTCGTGCTCGGACGTTTCGAGCAGAACGAGCGCGCTCGACCGCGGAGACACGGGTCAACTTATTTCAACTATCTTCGTTGCACGTCTTTATTCTTCTCCTTCTCATAAATGGTGTATATCGCCATCTTACCAAGCGGGAGCAAAGATACTAGCATCCAAAGTGGTCGGTAAGAAAACATCCTTTTTTCTCCCTTTATCACTGTGCCCTATTATTACAAATTCATAGAAATTAATAGTATAATATTGGCAATTACGACAATTGAATCGTAATCTAAAATTTATACATTTTATTTTCATTTTGGTATCGAAAATTACTTTTCATAATATTATAAATACTTTTACTGTTTATATCATACAAAAAATAATGATCACTGCAATTTGAAGTATAAATATTTGAAGGTATAATGTAATAATTTTTCGAACAGAAAATGAATGCGAAATATATATTTTTTGTCCCATTATTAACGAGTCTGGAATCGTTCAATTACTTTTAATAGCAGATTCGGAATTCAATCAATATTTACATCGTGAACGTGAAAATTATTCTTTCGGTAGCATTTAATATACATTCATATCGTATCTCGTAGTTAAGTGATTTACCACTTTCGAACAGCGGCGCTACTAAATGTCCAGGGCCGAGCACTTTTTTGGTATCTAACAAACATCCCCCACGCTTTTTCTTGAATTTTATTATTTTCAAATCGCGTATAAACACCGGAGGTTTACGATCGTACGAAACAATTACAGCATTGAATCGAACGATTGACTGGAACGTAACGTTGAAAAAAAAGACATCGAAGATAACAGGTTGTTCGTGAATTTCAGAAATTCGAAAGGGGCGGTTGTTACGTAGAAGGTCGGAGGACGGGAGGCGTGGCCTCGAATAATCAGCTCAGGGTAGTCCAGTGTCCTTGCGCATATCCAGTAGCTATACGTACACATGTAATATCGCTCACGTGTGTATCGTATATACGGAGAAGAGAGAAGTTTCGAGCATTATCAATCACTTTCGTCGCTGGACCGAACGGTGCATCTGTTCTCGCCGGCCGTCGACAGGTAAAACGACCCAATTTCCGTGGACGAGGATTACTGCGATGCCCGCAAACAAGGGGAACCTGTCGACGCCTCACAAAGAAAAATCCGGAAATGGTTTGACTACGGGTGCCTCCAAAAAGAAGAAACGCTGCACCGTTAAGCATAAAAGACATTGCAAGCAATATCTGGTGAGTGAGCGAAACGAAACGTTAATTCTTTGTCAAATGAACGGCCATATTGCGGTCGAGTCGAGAGCGACGCGAGTATCTTCGATATGCAATATATCATATTTATAAAATCTCGATACGAACACGATTAAATCATTAAGATATGATGAATTAATTAGAATGTTCGATTATATTTCTTTTTATTAAATTTGTTTAAGTCTTTAAGAAATAAATACGAGTGTAAAATTGGAAAAAGTTACGACGGTAGTGTAGGTTATGTGGCGCAGATGTCTCGAGTCGAAACACGTAGAGTTTGTTCACCTTTACTGATGCATGGTCGAAGTGTTATGGGTTGCAACGATCGATCGGTGCAAGCATGCTTCGGTGCCGGTCACGATGCAATTTTTATTTCAAGTTCCTCCAGTGATTTAATGCGCCACGCCGAAAAACGATCGAGTAATTTGCATATTTCTACGACATTTTTCAGACTTATACGTGTGATGTTCTGATTTTTTCCTTTCTATCGGTGTAATAAATTATTCATTCGATTGTGGTATTTGGTAAACGCTTATCTCGTACCGATTCGTTTCCTTCCTCGACACTTTTTTTATTTTTATTTCTTCTTTCAAATTGATATCGTTTTTTCTATTAACACGTTTAACTTATCTAACGAATATCCTTTATTATTGAATAAAAATGTTTTCCAATAATATTATTAATATTAATCAGTTTTCTTACTATTTTTCATACCTACACCTTTTTACATACATCTTTGTGTAAAAGAGTTAAACGATACCGTGTTATTTTCCATTATCGTTGGTACGTGATAAAATACTCGAATTGGTACGTGATAAAATTTCCGAAAGAAGAAGGATGGCTATCGCTTTTATTCGCGTTTCCGGCTCAATCCTCAGTCATGAGGGATTTCACACGATGTACCGTTCCGCGAAAATGTTTTATTTTTTTACGGGCCTTGCATTTGTATACCCCTTACCCCTCTATCCCTTCGACAGTCGAGTAGGTTGTACCCTCTTAGCACCTGTACAATTGCTCCTTTACACGTTATATAAATTAAACACGTTCCAAGTTTGCGTGTCTTCGTTGCTATGTACAAGAGACCATTGGTATACACACGCACGTGCATATATAATTACATATAAATATAGATGGAGAAGGCACAGGAATGTTTTAGCGTATAAAAGAAATAAGAAATAAGACGATAATTGCTAGGTCGAATTACTTGGTCGAGCTAAATCGAGAAGAGTCCGTTTAGCTTAGATCTAGAGTAAGAAAATGGAGGATTTTTAGCGGACAGTGTGTATATCATATTACAAACTAGCGATCTGCCTGCCTCGTATTAGAAACTTAGGAAGCACGTATTGATTTCTAAGAATGCCAAGAAAAAGAGGTTGGTGCTGATTCGGCGAGAACAAAAGACGACACCAATTCCACTTCTGCAGTCCACTTGAACCACTTGCTATTATGTCTTGTAGGTGCAGAAGTTGGCAAAGCCGTATTGGCTTACCTATGTGAAAAGATTCCGGAGACACTTTCTTATTTTTGTAATTTCGCCGAATCGTTTAAAATTACCCACGTTGTTGGTCAAGTATAACCATGTATATAGCTTTCCAATTGTCCAGAGAAAACGTGGTCGTTGTGCGTTTGACATTTACGATTGCGATTGATAACGAACAACAAAACTAGGAGTAGGGAGAAAGAATCGTTGAAGCGACGAAAATAAATTCACGGCATATGGTGTACAATTTTTTTCTTTTTTTCCATTTGACACCAACGTGTACTGGATGCGACGTAATTCATGCAATTCGAGCAGGTGCCGTACGTGCAACCGAACGTGGTTGCAGTGAACGGAAACGGAAGTCGAGCGTAACTTATCATCGGCAAGTGCAGGGTACGCGTGTACGTGCGGGGTCACGTTCAACGCTATGCTTTATTGAACTTTGCGTGTCGACGAAACGTTTCTTCTATTCCTCGACTCTTCGGTTCATTAACGCTAAAATTAAACGCGTTCAATGCTTTACCGAACTCGATCGATACGAGTAACTTGGTTATATTTTGCAACACGGAACGATCCTCGAAACTTTCCACGATGTTTCCTGTCAATGTAAAATATCGGTGTCTCGTTGTTCCTTCTAAGAATTCACAGGAATAATATCCATGACATTCTGTCGAATCTCCTGATAGATTATACCGATTTCACCGGCTGATCGGCGATAAATTTGCAAAATAGGCGTAGAACGGCGCGATACTCGGCTGAAGATTTTAATTAACCCACTTGCGGCTGCATAGACGCCGCCTCTAGGCTCGGTTCATTTTTAACGAGCCGTGGTGGTTGGTGGTGGTAGGATTCTCGCGGAGGGGAATTAAATCGAGCCGTCGACGTCTGCTCTTTGTTAGATATCATAATGTCCTATAATTTCATTATTTTCCCTGCTTCTTCCACCCGTCTGAAATTTCCACGGATGAAAAAGCGTCGCGCTTCCGGTATTGTCAGCATCTCCCTTCAATTAACCACGAAAATTAGGACGGTTACCTGCTTAAGATGGCAACTTAGGAAACAACAATGCCAGCGCACTTTTTTCCTCCTCTCATTTCCTTCTCTTTTTTCCCCTCTTCTTTTTCCTCCACTTTTTTTTCTTGCCACGGAACAATTTCCCTCCTTCGGTATATTTCTGCCGTGTTGTCAAGGACACTGGACGTATTCCTTTTCTTCTTTCCCTCCTATTCGCTGCAATTACGGTAATTAGCTGCAATCAGTCTACTGTTCACATGAGGATCAAACGGGTACGGATAGTCTTTTCGACGTCTCGCGTCATAGCTGAACGACGAGTTTAGATGAAACAATTAGAGTTCTTTTTTCGTGGTTACCTTTGGACGCCAAGTATCGGGGACGAAAGTACTTAATAGACTTCGAATATGTAATAGTCTCTAAGGAGCACCCAATTGTTCCAGTCGACGTATATACGATTATTTTCTGTCAAAAAAGAAAAAAAAAGAAAACATGAGAGAGAGATAGAGAAGGGAGACAAAATGCTCGAAATTCATGTTCACCCCCAGGGACATGATTTCGACGCTAGCGTAAAGGATTAACTGTATCCGGCAAGCTGCATCTACAATAACGTTTGTACCTCTGTATTCTATGTCGAGTTGAAGTATACACACACAATCTTAGAAGCATGTTGAAAGTCCAGAAATTCGTGCCTGCATACACGATTGATCAGCTCCTGTATCCTAGTCGCAAATAGTTTGTCGGTGGAACGTATATACACATGCGAATATAAAATTCAATGCTTTATCCTGTAGCTTGCACGCCATGCGATACGGCCGCGTGGAATTATAAATATTTATCCCGCAGGTAAGTATAAATTTCGCGTGTCGTCCATACGTATGCATTCGTTTCTTTCCCGCCAACTCGTGAGTTAAATATAACGCACGAAGAAATTTCGCGATAATTGCTTGTCGTTAATTCACCTATTCTCGCGCGCATGCTCGTAAATTTCGCATCGAAGAGACAATGAAGTTCGTGAAAATAACACGTATCGATGTTTTGCGATATTATGGGTCTTAAACGGTGAACTCTAGTTAAATTTGGCCAAATCTTTCGTTCCATAGGGTTGTTTAAGTTTAACAGAGAACTATGAAAACGTGATTCGCATAACGAAGAGTAAACGCTAACTAATTTCTGGTCCTTGCTTTATCTACTTCTTCCTTAAAGCTATGCACTTTAACAGTTTCCATCCACTTTACGTGGCTGTGGCCGAGCCACATCTCGAATTAATTACAGAGTAACCTGACGTCTGAATGAAACTGACTGAAGGGCGAAACTGGCATAAACGCGTTAACCGGGAGAATTCGTCAGCCAATTATCGGTTCCGGCTGTATCCGATGCATCGTTGTACTCACCGATCTAGCCGGTGTGGGTACTCGCCGGGTTTTATCGACTAGTCGAATTTAACCCTTTCAACGTGGCACATATCTCGCAAATTAAAACAAGTCGTAAGTCTAGCAATTAAACTCACGGTTCGATCCGTAACCTACTCGAACGGACGTTAGGATTGCTTCTTTCGGATGCAATCTGAGATGCATTAATGGGTCTTCTGCACGATCGATCTATCCAAGACTCGCGGGCAGGGTACGTAGACGGAGTATTTCCATTTCTACTCGCAGTTACGTTTGCACTATCGACGGATATTTTGCCCCAACGTCCGGTACACAGTGTCTGGTCACCTAAGATAGAGAAATTCGTGATTATTTGGGTCACGGATACGTTATTTAACGCACATCGTGAAATATCTACGTGCCGGAGAATATCGCTGGAAAAGAGACTTTGGGTCGATGGGAACGTGCTGCTCGGGAATGGTTGGCAGGCGTGTCCCTCCAGCCAACGAAAATAAGTGTTTCACAACTAAACAGGATATATTACGCGGCGTTACGTAACGATCATCCCTTCGAGAGATAACTCGATTCGCATCCCCTTTGCGCGTTTCTTTGGCTACCTTGCAGAGACGAGGAATCTTCTCGAGGTTGCAGGGACGTCCGGAAGTAGCGGAAGTAGACGTAATTGATGCACTAGCAATGGCTGCGATGGTAGAACAGTCTCGATCGAGACTCGAGTGCTACGATTCCAGTGGGTCGTTGCGATCAGATAGGAAGTTCCACGTAATAATGCCGAGCCTCGTGGAGATACAGGATACTCGTAAACGGAGCGAATATCCATCGTCCTTCGGTGTCTTCCACGTTCCCCTATCCGAGCTACACGAGATACGTATCGGACTCGGTTTTACCCTCCGAGTTAAATCTCGCGGTGTCATCTGTGTACACTTTCTACCCGTGGTTTCGCCAGTTTAGATTCTTCCTGCAGCCATAAACCAGTTGGTTTTTCTGGTCGAACAATACGCAATATCAGTCGGCTGAAGCCGAACGCGGCTGTACACAGGTGGACGCAATATCGAAAACGATCCGCGGATCGCGGCGAATCCCTCGAGCGTGTCTCGCCCCCTTTCAATTCGCGCATCGGCCGAACCATTATTCGTGTATTCGAACAATCAGCATGCCCCTCGTAACCCACATCCCCGACTGCGTGTCCAAAACTTACGGTACGAATTTCGACCATGCTCTCCATTGTCTTTCGCCCCCGTTGGAAAATGAGGAAAGGGAAGAGGAAATAAATATAAAATGGAGAGGGAAGGAATAAAAAGGAACAGAGACAATCGTCGACATGCCGGTTTAGAGAATAGGAAAGAAAAAGGGGAGGAATTTTGTCGAAACGTGAATAGCGAGAAATATCAGGAGCAGCGGTCGAAGTTTGGAACGCCGCAAACGTGCCTATATCTGCATCCGCAGGAAGGTTAGCAGCGTCGCGACGCTGGCCCGACATAGTGGCGCCGGCTACGCGAACGGGTCGACTAACAGCCGGTAGGGGGAGAAAGACGCACGATCGAGTGCTGCCTAACGCGCGTGGTGCAGCTCGCGAGGGTGGGAGCTAGCCAACGAGGAAGAAGAAGAGGGAAGCGTCACGGAAAAACGAGGAAATGACGAGCGCCCGCCAGGATAAGACGATGGAAATTTTACAGAGGAGATTCCTGGTAGAAGAGAAAATGTATGGACAAATACAAAATGTATACGAGGATTCAGCATAGTATTATCTTTATCGGGCACCGTGTGCTCCTGTGCACACGGATTTCGCGTTAACGCGATAAGGGTATCGACGAGATCGGTGTGTCGACGTGGAACAGGGAAAAGGTGTAAAAATAAAATTCCGGAGCATGGGGCAAAAAGCAACTTTGAAATTACGCGCGTGTAGATGAAAACCGACGTAAATACCTGCGTCGTAGGCCAATTAGATTCGCGAGGTAAAGCTTGGGAGGAAAGAGCGGAGAGTATCGTAGGATACAAGGTTGGTTGTGCGATTTAAATGACGGAGGAATCATTAGGAATGTAGGAGGGTAAGATCCAGGGGTGCAAGGTTTTCGTCACGGTTGAAAACGCATGTCGAAAATGTATGTATACCTGTGGGAGACTCGAGAGGTAGAAGCGACATTGGCGGAGGAAAAGGCGACCAGGGGTTTTCGCCAAAGGGGAACGGTAACCGAAAGGAGACCGAGAGACCCTTAAGTATATGAAACAAGAGAGAGGAAGAGAGCGAGAAAAACGGAAAAAGAGCAAGACAACCGACAGGGAATACACATGAGCGAGCGAGTACAAAGAGAAAAAGAGAGATGGAATCGCGTTGTCGCCGGTACGGAGGTAAAGATCAACGGGAAAGGGAGACAAAAAAAGAACGATCGTGCGAAGAAGAAAGAGAGGAAAATAGGAGGAAAATACCAAAAAGGACAACGTTTGTTCGTAAGACGAAAGAGACAGGCAAACCAAAAGGGAGTGTACCGTCTCGATAGTCTCGCTAGACGTCTCGACAAAGGTGGTCGAAAGGTAAGGGGAAAGAGGAAGAAGGAAAGAGGAAATAAATAAGACAAATGTAAAGGAAGAGAGAAAGAGACAGACAGAGACAGTGACGTGAAAAAGAAGAATCGGAAAAATCGTGGAAAAGTGACAAGGAGTCGGAAGTCCGATGCAAGGAGTAAGGAAGATAGAGGAACGGTAGATGGAAAGAGAAAAGGCAAGGAGAAAGGCGATGCGAAGGAAAGAGCGATAGAGAAGGAGGAGAAAAGAGAGGGGACTGGAGCGAAGAAAGAGAGAGGAAAACAGGGAGTAACGTTGCGGACTATCGACCCGATCCGGTTGGGCGCCTGCGCTCTGGCAACCCCTTCTACCGTCGGGCCGTCTCGCCGGCGACGCGGCGCTCTACGCAACGTCGTCGGTGCGATCGGTGCGACGGTGGGACCAGTGCCTCTCACGATTCCGTTCTCGCTCTGCCCTCCGTCTCGTTATTCCGTTCGTACAACGCGTCCGAGTGTTACTTTGCCATCCTCGCTTGTAATACATAACGTTATTTTATACATACATACATATATATATAGATATATATATTTACACACACGTATATATATATATACATACACATATACATCCGTACATGTGTGCGTACATATATATACATATATACACGTATATCTAGCTATTTCTCTCCTTTTTCTCTCTTCCGCTTTCTCTCTTTGTCTCTCTCTATCTCTCGCTTTCATTTCTACCTGTCGTTACTTGGCTTTCCAGCCGATCACCAGCACGAGTTACCAAAGTTAGAGAAAGAACACCGGAGAGACATATAGAGAGAATCAGAGAGAGAGAGAGAGAGAGAGAGAGTGTACAGAGCCGAAAGACACCGGTACGTGGCAAATGACCGTTGTTTTCTCGTGCCTTCGTCTTTCCCGTGTGTCGTCGCGTGTGTTGCGTTGAATCGACGGCCCCTTCCGACCAAGGCCGCTGCCTCCGTTGCTCTCGTTCCGGGGCACACGCGCGTTACTAACACGCACGCACGTACGCACGCGAAAAGATTGCTTCCGGATGCGGTGAATTTCAGCCGGTGAACATCACGCCGGGCCACAACACTCTTGGGTGCGTGATCCGCCAGCGAACCGCCGTCACGAGTTGATACCAGCCTTTCGGAGAAGACGATCGTTGACGGACAGAGAGACAGGAAGAGAGAAAGGGAAAGAGGATAAAAGAGAGCCGAGGAAAGAGACAGATACGCGAAAGTGGTGAAAGTTGAGGAAGAAGAGGAGAGCAAGGATAATATACTAGTCTACGGGACGAAAGCAGGGAAGCCCTAACGACGGAGACGATGGAGTGGTAGGCTTCGAACACGACCCACCCTTGTCTTGCTTTCCGGTCCCCATCTTCTCATCTCCTTCTTCCGCTCTCGCGTTTTCTTTAATTCCGTGTAATCCGATTGCTATTCCTCCATTCGGATCGTTTATGAGTGACGATAAATCTGACAAAATTCCAACCAAATTCCGTGTGCAATTATTTTCTCCTGTCGAGTTCCCCTGTCATTCCATTCTGTTGAAAGATCACGACCGGCTCCTCCCTTCTTAATTCGATTGCTTTCGACCATTGGAATCGATTTAAACGATACCTCGAACAGAACGTTTCCGATCGATCTTTATCCCCGATGGAATCATCGCGAACGAACCTTTTGCATCGGTTATCCGTGAAATACTCGGCGCGATCCATTAAAAAATCGATCCGAAAATCTACTCTGCACACCTGAAAATCCATAGACCTGGTAAATAGCGCAGAGTGGCAGAATTCGTTCCGTATGCGATCGCGAGCAGACGCACTAGTGCAAAGGGTTAAAGTCCCGCTGATGTTGCACCCTCGAACGAGCTAGTGTCGACACCTCTTCCTTCCCTCCTTCTTCTCCCTCCTCCCTCACTACCTCTCCCTCACGCCCCTTTTCGCTGTAGTACGACACTCACACGTTATTTCTCTTTCTCTGTTCTTTCTTTACCACTTTCTCGCCACATCGCCACGCTGGTGACTCGCACACCGGCGCTCGACGTTCATCGCGCGCACGCATGCACTGGATACGAGCGCGCGCGCGCGTGTGTGTGCCCGTCTGCCGCCCGACCACATCCTCGTGCATGCGAATACGTACGTATGCATACGTACACTCAGACGGAGCACAAGCCGGACGTCCGACTACCGTTCGCGAATACTGCCTTGAAGGGAGAAGAAGGAGCAGGAGTAAAGCCACGGGCGGAAGAAGAAAAGGAAGAGAAGGAGGTAGGAGGAGGTGGTAAAGTGGAGGTGGTGGCGGTGGAGAAGGGAAGAAGAAGCAGGAGGAAGTGAAGCAAGTGTAGCCGCATCGTCGACGCCGAGGAGCCACGTCCTCAGGAGGAAATCAACCTGGCCTGACGACTGTGTCCGTCGTCTAAACGGCCCCGTCGCTACTGCAGCGGCTGTGTGTCACTACTGTTCCACTGCCCCACACACCGCGGCCTCATGATTGGTTCATTCTGGAACCTCTGTCGTGCGTGCCCTTCAATGCCAATTGACAAGGTGAGAAACTGTCCGGGAGATCGTTGCATCGCTCGTGGATCGTCTTCTTCGTTTCCGTAACGGTACTTTCAGAGCGTAGATTCGTTAGAAGAGGTTGGATAGCCTGGCGGGGATTCCCTCGAAGATATTTCAGACAGCATATCCGTGAATGGTATCGTAAGACGTGCTATAGCAAGAATTGGCTTTCCTCCGTCGTTCTCTCGAGGCCATTTTTCGATAATACCACCACGATGGTCCTTTCGACGAGAGCATAGGATAGCTTTCGATATATCGTCCGGATCGATAGTCTCGTGAGAGGAGTATGTTTCCCACTCGCGAGAGAAATTATTAGAGAGTTATAAGTCGCCGGAGGTATACGGTGAAAGAAGGATTCGATTCCGTAGTTCCTTTCTTCTTTTATATCCTACGATTCGCGATGGAGGGGTCGATGGAGGAGAGTATCGCGCAGACAAGTACGCGATCGAGAAATAATTCTCACGAGTTTGCTATTCAGATTCTCGCCGTGCTGCCTCGCCATATACTTTATCTCGACGACCGATATTATCTGTGTATCGAAATCTCTGTGTACGATGGAGATTTAGCCGAGGGGATCCGCGGCTTTATTGGATGAGAGGGGAAAGTTTGACTAGCACTCGAACTCGACAATCTATTGTCTTTCTAATCGAGACAGCCTAAACTTCCATAGTTTATTCTCCTCTACCAGTCGGATCAGCTTTCAACGTAAAAATGTCCAAAGATCATTCGCGATAAAAGAATTGCACTGTTAATACAATAACCACGACTACGAGATGTCGATAAGAGCGATGATAAACGTTTCGAATCATCGATTTGCGCTATCTTGTATCGAATAGCTCTAGCTATCCAAGGTTAATTCTACACGTTCTTTCTTTCGTGGGCAAATCTCAATGCCCAGCAGCTGCACTTTCATCGAACCAGCCTATTGCGTTTTATACGTGTAACTTTTGTTTCACTCGCGTTCGTGGAAACCGCTTTATAGCTTTATCGATCGTTCCTTCGAAAGCCGAACTCCTTTTATCCGTCTACGCTCGAGACAACACGTGTTTCCGCAACGCGATACACGCTATCTTCCTCAATAACCTCGTAGTTATTAACTGATCGTCACCAACCTCGTCGAAGCAGTACACGGTTCCAAACTTGTCAATTTTTCCTTCACGGTTTTCGACTGAAATCTTCCATTAAAATAAAGGATTAAAGTTGCAATTCCCATTTGCGATCGTGCACGGTATTTTGCCTTCTAACATTTCGTCGTATCTCAAATTGCTTCAACGATAATTCGAGTTCCACGAGACAACCCCTATGCCTCGCGTACAAGAAACTCGAGGACTTTCGAACAATTCTTCCGTGGAAGTTCACGAAGTGCACGCAGCCACACAAATACATGCAACAGAGCCTGGGAATCGAAGGTAGCTGTGCTGCTGGTTCGATTTTCCAGCCGAAGAAAAGGTCGACTTATTCGAGCATGGAACTTTCTCGCCAGCCTCCTGAAACGTTCCTTTCTCTGTACGGGAATTTGACAAATTTTCGTATGATAAAGATAGCCGATTTTTCTGCGAATCGGCAACTGCTGAAATTATCGGCTGCTTGAAAATCAGGAGTGGACGTTCGATAAGTAATACGCATTACGGATTATCGGTTAAAGGAACCAATCATCCGCGTGCATATTGTTAGAGACGGACAATACGAAGTTGGACATTGATCGACGGTGATGCGTTTGGACGGAAATTATTTTGCAAATCTATCTTGCTTATCGAATTGATAATTTCTATCATTCCTAGAATTTTCGATATCATTCGATTATTCACAGTGGCACCGATTCGCCAGGAATGCATTCGAAATCAATTCGTTTGGAAAGTGTTCGTTCAGACATCTTCCATGCTCGAGCATGATCCATACACGAAGCACGTTATGGCATGGTTCGTTGGATATTCAAAATCTCGAGAAATGGGCATAGTCCGATACCCTGTTACTTCTCGCTCTACCTCTTTCCGAATTCCTTTTATTGTTCTCCACGGACAATAAAAATGACACACTGGTGGAACCCGATGCTCGACTTTCACGCTTCCTGGATTAATTCGGGTGCGAGGGCGAGAGGGTAGAAAGGGGATCGGCTGTTCGCAGTGCGGTTTTCTTCAGCCATGGCTCGTAAATCACGAAACTAGAGAATTGGTGTGTTCTCGCTATCGGTTCTTGTTCGATTCCTTTCCTTGCTTGCTCGCGATGAGACCATGCCTGAAATTTCAAAATTATTTCTGTTAATCGTGTCAAATTTTCGACAAGAAAATTCGCTCCGTTCGTAGAGCCAATACTATCTAATCGAAACCTACCTCGAATTCAAATTGAACAATGGATCACATTTACGAAACTTTCTCGAGTAACTTTACGAATAGCAAAATGAAATAGTTAACCTGATTAGCTGTGTCAGTAGAAAATCTAGATTGCTCTCTGACGAATGTTAATTTTTAACAAGCGACATCCAGCTCGCGAATCTCTCTTCTACCAGCCATGTAGAGAAAGAAGGACGGAAAAAGAAAAAAGAAAACAAATAAAAAGAGACAAAGAGGGGCAAAATTAATGGTCCGTGGTCAAGCGGTATATTCTGTAATTACACATCTCGTTAGATCGTAATCGGTCGCATGAACAAGTAGATGACTGTTTAATGCTTCATCATAGAGCAACTTTATCCGGGAATTAATCACAAAGAAAAGGCTATAAGCTGGTACAGCAGAAAGGAATAGTAACGTTTACCTATTATTGTCATCCGATTGTTTTTCCGGCGTCCATAGTCCCTTTCGATAAAAAGAACTTCTTTCTATCACTGATAAACATCTCTCTCCCTCCGCCGTCTCTCTCTCTCTCTCTCTCTCTCTCTCTCTCTCTTTCTATTTCCCTTTCTCTTTCCTTCTCTCTTCCTGTTTCTCTGTCTACTTGGAACTGGAGCATCGACTGTGTTTCCATGCACTGCTAGCCGATTACACGACGAAATTAGTTTAATGTCAAATCGCGACATGCGGGGAACTACGACGGCTGGAATGCTTCCCAGTAACGTCGTTTGTTTCCTGTTTCTTCCATCTCGCCGAGAAGAAAGTCCATTTGTTCACCGACTCGCTGACACGATGACAAAAAGATGCGGCATATCGATTTTTCGACGAATACGCTCGCCGGTCACCTTGTCGACTAATAAAACGCCGCCACGTTATTTCCACGAAAGTCGAATTAGCAAACTGGGACAGAGCTAAGGTGGTCGATAAAACCATGATTAATATCTCTGATCTCGTTATTATTTTTATAGTCAATTTCGAGTCTAGACTTGTACCTCTGGTATGCGAAATAAAAATTGACTGCGCGTGTAAATCGTCGTGGCTGCGTTTCGAATGTAAGTGCGGTCAATACCGTGAATCTATATCATGAAACGTGGAAATAATTTATCCCTGCAGCGAAATACGTTTCAAAACTTTCCATAATGCCGATCGATTCTCCGTAAAACTGTTCAAACCTCGTGTATTATATATAATTGCACGGTGCATTCGTCTCCTCTCAGTCGTGTGGAAATCTATCGTCGATTTGTCAAATCGTATCTACAGTGAATTGCCGCGGTGACCGGACATTTTAAGGTCGATCGTGAAGATAAGAAACGGAGTATTCAAAATGCGGCATAGCATCGAGTTCGACCGATGTTTCGCCCCGTCACCTTCAGTACGATCGTCTAACACAATTCGCATGGCCGGGCGTCATGAAAAGTGGTAGGAGAACACCGGCACTGCGCCACTCTTCGTTCGTCGATATGCACTATCACGTGCACCATTCTTCTGTCCGACGTACGTTGACTTTTACTACTTGCTCGGCCAACCACGGCTGCAATGCGCAACGTTGGCTAAATTAGACGAAGGGTTCGTGAAACGACCCTTTCGCTAGTCACGGTAAATGGGATAATAAGCTTGGTTCGCGTTAGGGGAACATGGCGAAACATAGAGGGAGAATACTTTCTTGCTTTTGCTTACCGTTTGGAAACAAATGTTGACGTTGAAATAATCAGTCTTTGGGCGTCGCGTAATTGCTCCCTGTAAAGAATAATTTCAAAATTAGTGGAATCTTTCGGTGGAATATTTTGGGGAAATGTATTTTTAAAATCGGCTTAAGATTCACGTTGCGTTACTCATAAACCTTGAAGAAACCGCGATCATCAAGGGAAGTATTTGAATAGGTATCAGGTGATAGAAATCAGGTTACTTGGCTGTAGGCGTTTCAACTTCTAAAAATCGCATGTAGAACTAGGCCTCGCGTGTGCACGATTCATTATTTTCGTAGTCAGAATTAACCCCAAAGAACAGTGTTGCGATATTTATTAACTTGCCAAGAAATAATCATTTAAGACTATTAAAAGAGGAAACTTACGAAATTCACCCTTGCATGCTACTCGTACCAAATTAATCATCGAATCTCCAAACATCCTTTAAAGATTCATCCTCAAACTTCTTGGTACAAATTCATCCATTTTCAATCTCCGAACTCGTGAACTTCGAGTTCCTCCTGAAACAAAGTACGCGCCACCGTGTCATTCATCTTAAAAAATCCTTTCAACATTCGTTCCCCAACTTTTCGAATAAAATTCGTTCGTTTTCATCAAAGTACACGACACAGAATCGAGCATGATGCAAACGAAGACGATGAATATGAGGACGCACGAACAGCATGGAAGAATGCAAGCTGTCCCGTTGAATTCGATTTTGACACGCAGTATTTCGCCGTCTGCATGCAGCTGGCACGAGGAGGACGGAGTAGTAGGAGAACACCGGCACTGCGCCACCGTTCCTCCTTTATCGATATTCTCGGTATAGCCGGTCGGTGAGTAGTAGTACGTTGACTTCTACTACTCGGCCATATGCCCCTAAGCGTCGTTTACAACGCGCAATCATGTTGATAAGCCGCATGTAGTGTTACAGCCGGCCAAGTCAACGGGTCGTGCCTCTGTTACGTCACTG